TGTCCTTCTGGGCATGCTCACTGGGGCTCCTGGGCATGCTCAGTAGGACTAGGCACGAAAATCCTTTTGAGAGCTTGCTACGGCACCGGCAGATCCAGCGCAGGCGCACTAGATCCCATTGGTGTGAAGCACAGAGACCACGAAGAAGATCAATGATACAATCAATACAGTTGTTGCAAAAAACCTTTGCCAATACAGAAGGTAACATTGAAATCAGAATCTTCAATTCGACAGTCAAACTAGACTCCAGAATTACAGAAAACAACGGCAAAAGAAACTTCTTCCTAGCTTCAGCTTTCAGTGGGCAGTCAAATATAATATGTGCTACAGTTTCAATTCTTCCCGCAGAGCATGAGCAAACTCTTTCAAAATAGGGAATCCTTGAATATTGTCCAACTAACACCGTTTGGACCATCATAAAGGCTCATCATAACTTGGGGACTGTCAATGAGTATAAATATTTCGGTATTTTATGTTGAAAGGGTAGTCCTAGTGCAACAGGAGAACAAACTCATCAGGCACAAAAACAATTTACAGTGAGCTCTTTGAGGGGGGAAATTCTGTTCTCTAACAGTTCTCTTTGTTGTTGTTCAATTGCACAGTTGAGTCCGACTCTTCATGACCCCATGGACCACATCATGCCAGGCCCTCCTGTCTTCTGCCGTCCTCCAGAGTTTGCTCAATTTCATGTTCATGCATCAATAACACTGTCTAACCATCTCATCCTTTGCTGTCCACTTTTTCTTTTACCTTCAATTATTCCCAGCATCAGGGTCTTCTCCAGTGAGTGATCCCTTCTCATTTGGCATGGTAATGTCTCTAGGTTTGCCATAGCTTTCAAGGAGCAGGCATCTTTTAATTTCATGGTTGCAGTCACCATCTGCAATGATCTTGGATCCCAGGAACGTGAATTCTGTCACTGCTTCCATGACTTCCCCTTCTATTTGCCAAGGAGTGATGGAGCCAGATGCCATGATCTTAGTTTTTTTGATGTTGAGTTTCAAGCCAACTTTTGCACTCTTCTCTTTCTCTTGTAATGACTTGGGCCTTCCCCAAGAGCCTCCATCTGTTCTCCAACCACCCCATATCCACTCGCCCTCAACCCAACCCCACTTACTTTGTGATTGGTGCTGTTCTGTTGTCCAGACAGGCTAGTGGGAACTAGTGACTGGCCAGCAGACAAATGGCTAAGCAAAGAGCCTTTCTCCGTGTTCCCCCTTTTCTTCTCTTTCTCTCCTCCAGCATCTCAAACATTGCTTCAGTTGCACCCAACATGCTAAGATATACCCCATGGAAATGTACTTCCCACAGTTCCTAACATTAAGCATTAAGCACAGGTGAAGGGGTGGGAGATGGAGGGGGAAAGAGGCTTGCTGCCTGCCTGTCAGGGCAGCAGGACAGTAGCAGATATAAATGGAAGGAAAGACGGTTCTTCCCTGGCTTGCATTATATAACTGTACCAAAGAAACACTCATACCTGTAAAACTCACATTTGTCAAGTCAGTACATATTACAAGATATTACCAAACCTCATATTTAGAACTCAAAGAGTATGAATTCTGGCAGCCACTCTAACTTTGATAAATTTGACAGAATACTCTCCACAAAATCTCAAAGCCAGCATTTGCTTGCTCTGCATCACTTAGACATTTTCTAGCATTGTTGTAACACCATCAGTACAAATCCACTTATACAAAATTAAGAAAATACCTTGGATTTTGTTATACTACAGAGTTCTTTTGCGTTTGTTATTCCTTATTTGCAAGATCTGCCTTAGATTAGGGTAGGAAAGGCTTGTACTAGGAATTTCATTCCTGAAAACGCTAAGATTCTAACGTTTTGCACACTGTGAACTTCAGCCTTTTCAGACCCTAGAAGCCACGCTTAACATCTAGGTGGCAGCGTGGGATCCACTAAGCTGCCAGCCTGTAGCAGGAAGACACATAACATCACAACATTGTGACAGGAACTCACATTATCTCAGTGTCACACAACAGGAACAGGGCAAGCCAGAGT